GAAGCAAGATTTGAGAACTGCTGACTGGGAGTTACTGATGGCCCATGAACTCCATTTAGTTAAATCTTCTATCGTTATTATTGTTGTTGTTTTTCTAACATTTCTTTTTTTAAAAAATTTATTTATTTTGTGTAAGCAGGGAGGGTGTGTGGGAGTGTGAAGGTTGAGGACAACTTTTGGGAGTCAGTTCTCTCCTTCCACCATGTGGATCCAGGGGATTGAAATTAGGGCAGGGTTGGCTTTACCTGCTGAGCCATTTCAAATGCCCTATTACCATAATTAAGAATGGAGTACAGTCAGGTGTGGTGGTGGTATACACCTTTAATTCAGCACTAAGGAGGCAGAGGCTTTCTATGAGTTCTAGGTCAGCCTGGTCTACAAATGAGTTCTAGGCCAACCAGGGCTACAAAATGAGACCCTGTTTCAAAGGACAAAACAAAAAAACAAAACAAACCAAAAGAATGGGATAGAAAAGAATATAAAGTATCTTAGGGGAAGAGAAATAACAGCTCTATGAAACTCTTGCTTCACATACATACCCGTATTGCAATATAAAATATACTTCTTACTGGTTAAAAAGTGTTGAAGGAAAAATGTTTGCCTTGAGGTATTAAAACAGATTCTCAGGCTCAACAAATCCTTGGATCAGAATTTCAGGAATTTTGTACTTTGAACAAGTTTCCTTGGGGATTTTGATATAGTCTGAACTTTGGAGTCTCCAGTAGAACCTTTGTAGGGTCTGGAATCTGAAGCAGTCTAACAGCCATGAAGAGCTGATCAACCTATTAGTTCAGCCGTATTTTCATGGCCTTCACCTGTTTAAAGGCAGGGAACAAGCATTTAACGACCATAAATAAAACATGACTGTCCTCTTTCTACTTGTTACTGGCTTCACTGCTGGGCTGTTTCTTCTCAATTCCTCCCATATACTGGCCCCAAGGGTCAGTCAGAACTGCTCTGCTATAGGTTGGCCACATAGTTTTAATCACCCAACATAAACAGATGAAGAGGAGTTTAGTTGCCAGATGTGAGGCTGGAATGATGCCGATAGGGAAAGCCTGCTTAGCCAAGAACCAACAAAAACCCGGGACCAGTCACCAGATCTCTATGTACAGCAGGTGTGGCCTGTCCTGCCTTAATCCTGGCAGAGCTGTTAGCCACCTGTCCTGACAACTGCAAGCAAAACTTCCTAGAATGAGGATCCAGCCACACTGGAGGCCTTGGCTTGTGGTTTGCTTCTAAGGGCTTTTTAGGACTCTTCTAAGGCAGCTGTCCCTCAGCCTACAACATTAAGCCACTCCTCATCCATAGCAATTAACCAGTGGAAGTCCCACTGTATGCTATTGTCTTCCCTGTCTCTGTGCCTGTCTCCAAGGTCACAAAAAACTGAAAGTACCAATTTTCCTCTCACTTCAGACATACATTTTTAAAGTCAATTTTAAAGTCCAGACTCATTGTTGGGTTCATTGGCTGTAATCCTAACACTTGGGGAGGCCAAAGGCACGACTGTCTTAAGTTCAAGGCCAGTCTGAGTCATAATAAGGTCAGACCCTATCTCAAGAAAACCAAAACAAACCAAATGAACAAAAAACAGGAGTTAATAACCTTACACCTACCATCCTAGCACTTATGAGGTAAGCTGAGGCAGGAGGCATGCTGTGATTGCAAGGCCGCATAGTTAACCAGAGCTATACAGCAAGATCTCTTTAAATAAAAGGAAAGGAAATGTAGGACTCTTTGCTTGGACCAGTTTCAGCTCCTCTCCCTTTGACACATATACTCTTGTTGAGTGTAGGACTGTCCACATCCAATAGGACAGGCAGCCGGTCACTTTTGCACAAGGGGTACCCTCTCTCTGGCCCCTAAGGGCATTCAGTGTCTTTCCTGGTGGCCACACACCATGGCATAGGAACTGCTTTGTATTTTGGTTTTTCTCTTCAACTTTACCTATAAAATCCTAGGAGACAATAAACCCTCCCTTTTAGTTCTGTCTAGAGTCCCCATAGTGCTTTGCTTAAAAAAAGACTTTTGGACTTACATTTGTATACAAGCAGATGTAAAAGAACATGCAACAATCACATTCCATATCCAAAGCTATCCACACTGGACAAATGAATCAGAACTGTTCATCTTTTTAAAAATTATTTTATTTATTAATTTTTTGTTATGTGTATGAGGGTATTGCCGTATTGCCTGCATGTAAGTGCGTGCACCTGTGTTGTTCAATACCCTCGGAGGTCAGAAGAGGGCAACAGATCCCCTGGAACTGGAGTTATGGACAGTTGTTAGCTGCCATGTGGGTGCTGGGAATTGAACCCCAGTCCTTCTGCAAGAGCAGCTAGTGCTCTTAACTACTGAGCCATCTCTCCAGCCCCCAGAACTGTTCATATTAACAGGGAGTATCTTTCCCCATATTTGCTTGGTCAAACACTAAATTGCCAGTGTTAAATCCAGATGCTAAAAATAGCGATCTTTTTTTAAAGGAAAAAAAAAGAGTTCTATACTTAAAGAGTCAGACTAACAATATTATGGACAAAAGACAGAAGTTAACCTACCAAATGGGTGTCAGAAATTTTGACAACCAGTTATTAACTCTTATGCTACCATCATACCTAGTTTTACATAATCTTCACAGCAACATATGAAGTAGGAATTATTACTCCATTTCACAAAAAGGAATTAAGGCTCAGGAAGCTCAAGAACGTTTCCAAGGTTGATAAAGAGCAACATCAGGATTCAAATCCAGGTTTGTCTGAACTCACTTCCACACCCTGCTGCCTGTTTAATTAACCTCATCAACATCATGATCAGTAGTAGTACTATTTGCTTGGTTGTTTTGGATTTTGAGATGGTTTCACGAGATAGCTCAGGCTGTCTGGGAATTCTTACTCCTCAGACCTCAATCTAAGTATTGGAACTACAGATGTGTACCATCATCATACCTGGCATGTGATTCTTGATGTGGATTCACATGCTACAACTTGAACAATGCTCCCTTTCCTAAAGAAACATTGAGAAAACATGTTTTAAAGCAAGCAAGCAACTGATCCATCCATCAACCCATCTGCAAATAAAGCCACATGGGAAGACTTAGGGATATACTCATGTACCTTGGCTTTGTAGGCATTCACTTTTATTTTCTATCTTCTCCATTCATTATTCACCCAATTTCAGTGATAATCTCAATACCCTCTATAACGCTGCTGTCTCTAAATTTAGGTTATATCCAGAATCTGACTACTGCTTATCACCCTCCACATCTCTTATTAAGTGTCTAACTTCTCTATCCCCTACAGCTCAATCTCAGCTTTTCAATGTGTCCTTTTAAAGAGTTCAATGAAGCCCCATCACAATTCTGCTCAACACTACTCGTGGCCAGACTTCCCTTTCCTAGTCTATTGGTATATATCTTCCCGGTTCATCCTTTTCTCCAGGGTTTTGCAATGGCTGTTCCCTTTGCCTGAAGCTCTTTCCACTGAGACAACTGCAGGGCATGCTCCTGTTCCCTGTCCTCCTTCTTGTCTTTGTTTAAAGGTCACTGTCCATTTGAGACTTCAGTGTAAACCCTGTTTGAAACTGCTATCTTCCTACTCTAGTACTTCCATTCTCCTGAGCATGGTGGCGTACACCCTTAGCACCAGCACTGGGGAGGCCGAGGCAGGTTGATCTCTATGAGTTCAAGGCCAGCCTGATCTATATAATGATCTATATAATGAGTTCCAGGCCAGGTGGGCCTATAGGGAAACCCTGTCCCAAAAGAAAAAAAAAAAAAAAAAAAAAAGAAAAGAACTTGCATTGTTTGGTTTGCTCTTCTTTAGTTTTTAGCCACTTATAGTGGCTAGCACAGTACATAAAATATCACACAATATCACACAATAAATATATTCATTGTGTTTATTATATTTTCTCACTAGAATGGAAGCTGAGATTAAAAATGCTTGTTTTGCTCACTGCTATATCCTCACACCACAATGCTTAGTAAATAGCATGAGCTCACCAAATATTTGTTGAATTACTGTTTTAAACAACTAGCAAAAAAAAAAAAAAAAAAAAAAAAAAAAAAAAAAACCACCCTGAACTCCTCAGGTCAACGCACTACATTTACCTATGGCTTTGAGTGCTCCAGGGTCTTGATCTACCCCAGAGGCACTCATTGAGAAATCAGGGAATGGGAGCCACTAAGAAAGATATAATTTAAGATATAATTCCACTGTTTTAATTGTAGGAGCTGCCAGTGGTGGCCCATACCTTTGATTAATCCCAGGCACTTGGGAGGCAGAGGCAGGAGGATTTCAGAGTTCCAGGCCAGCTGGAGGGAGACCCCCGCTCAAAAAGACACACAAAAGAAGCAATCTATTTTACTTCTGGGGGACAGAATTACACAGAAGCCTGAAATAATGAATGTATTACAATAATTCAGGCAAAAGACGATGAAAGCTGGAGACATTTACCAAACAAGAGGGAAAAGTAAAACAACTGATTGGATAGTGAAGGACCGTGGGAATCAGATTGGCTTAAGTTTAGGGCTGGAAGACTGTAAATACAATGCCACAGTAATAGAAAATAATAACCCAGAGCCTGTTTGCAAATGGAGCCGAAAGGTTAAGTCTTGACCTAGATTAATATTTGCTTTCCTAATGCACTGACAAATAACTAAAGTGATGAAGGCAGAAAGCCCACTCAGGGGTACAAAGCAGCAGATGATAAACAAAAGGAATCCCACAAGATCACTTTATGTGATCTTGAGCAGGCGGATTCCCTTCTAAGGAAAAGAGCAGGAACCTGTCTCACGGGTTAAACGTTTCAAGTCGATTGTGCACCACAAGATACAGACCTACAAAGATTCCCAGAGACGTGCATGATTGGCCTTATTTCACAGCAAAAAAACCCCTTCAGAACCAGGCAATTTTGAAATGTACCCCTTCTAAAAGTTTCTCAAGGAAGGATTACTAACAAACTAGTTCATCTCTTACATAACTGAGTTTACAGTCATACTTTACCTGGAAAGTTCTCTCGATTGAGCTTAGGCCTGCGGATGATCACAAAGTCCTTGTCACTCCCTTTGCTCTTTAGCCGTTTCCTTGGGGGGCTCTGGGGATGGCCGAGGTTAGAGAGCAGTTCATGGGGGATGTTCTCACTGTCCACCTCCTCCTTCTCCAAGGCAGAGACACCCATGCCTGATAGCAGTTCAGAAGTCTTGCTGGAATCCCATCCCCACGTGAAGCTGGTGGTGACGTTGCTACTCTGGTCCGGAATCTCCTGAAGGTGCTTCCTGCAGAAGGGCACAATTCCTCATTCCTTCTGAAAACACACCCCTAAATAATTCTAAAGGTAGGAACGAAAGGCGTCAAGCATGCAACGTAGAGAAGTCACAGCAGCTCACTGAATTGCATTTTTAATGTTCCAGCAGCGAATTTCCAAGAATGAAAGAAGAAATCGGAAACGCACGCACACCCCACTCGAAAGGCTTTTGGATTTATGATCACGTACAAGGCCTCAATAATTTCTTTCAGTGGAGGGAACAAGAGGGACGGCAATTATACCGTGATTCTCAATAGTGGATGGAAAACCTAATTAGGAAAATTAAACGGCTAGCGGATCTCCATATTAAGGCATCCATCCATCCATCCATCCATCCATCCATCCTTTCTCCAAAAGGGGGCTAAGCAACCACTCACATTAGATTATCTGGGCAAGTGGCAATATTCGCGGCCTAAAAGAATTCAAACGGTTCATTCATGCTCTGCCCATTTTTCCAATCCGCTTACCTGTGCATGGCGTCCAAGGGTTCAGGCGTTTTAAATGCGTGCATTAATTGCAAACCTCCCTTCCACCCAAACTCCAGCTCAGGCGCGCGGTAGCTGGAAGCGAGCTGCCAGGGCCCCTGCAGCCAGACCCACGACCTAGCAACGTTCCATTCCCTCCGCGCGCGCAGAGCTCTGCAGCCCGCTCTCCAGCGGCCGCCTTCTGCCGCCCCGCAGCCGGCTGGGTATTGTAGTTCCGGGCCTGTCTCGTTGACTGACTGGCTCATTCCCACTTCCTTCCCGCGCCCAAGGGCCGAACCTTCCAAATACCCACAATGCCCCGCGGCTCAGGGCTGGACTGTGGGGAGGGCCGGGAAGCGGAAGTGGGCGGAGCTCCGGCTGACTGGGAAATGTCAGCGGCTTGTCTGTGAACTGGTTTTCTGTACCCGAAGCCTAAAGGCCTTCGGGTGACGACCACCGCGGTCGCCTGCTACTGAGGGTCTCTGACTCTGGCGGGCTGTGGCAGTCGCAGAGCTTCCCAGTCCATTCCAGACGTTGTCTGGCGAAATCGAAAGGTGAGCCTCACGGGGAGCGTGTGAGGCGCGTCGGGTTCTGGGGTCGGGGTGGAGCGCCGGAGGAGACAGGACCGGAGACCCCCGCGCGGCCGCTGCCCGGAGGCCCCTCTCACTGACCGGCCCGCGCGCCAGGTGAGAGGCCGCGGGTGTTTCACCCGCCAGGCGGCCCCAGGCTGCTTCGTGCACCTGGCAGTGGGCGGCCCTGAGGATCCAGCCCGTAGACCAGATTCTTTCCTCATCCCTACGGATCGGCCTGGGACGGCGCGCATCCCACGGGCCTGGAGTGCAGATCAGATCAGATCAGATCAGAGAGCTCGTGAACGCCATCCTAAGCTAAAGGAAGTTCCGGAGAAGCGTGGCTTAGTTTCGGGGAGCAGGAGACTGCAATGGTGACGGCGTGAGGTGGAGAGCTCCTGCACTTTTGCGTCTCTGTCTCTCAGGTGCTACCAAAGTATGGTAGATGACGCTGTGCCCCGGCTGGGACCACCTGGAAACTGTGGCAGTGCCTCTGGCGCAGTCCGCTGCCTCCCTCTGAGCCTCTGTCCAAAGCTAGGCACAGTTAACCTATTTCTTTAAAAAAGATTTTTTAATTATTTTTATGTTTGAGTGTATTGCCTGCATGTAAGTGCACCATGTGCATGCAGTGCCTGTAGGGGTCAGAAGAGGGCGTGGGATCCCCTGAATTGGAGTTACCCTTATCCACCTGCATAAATGCAATGTGCAAACTGTACCCCAAATGTGACTCCAGGGCGACAGGGGATTGGGAAAGAGGATGCATTCCAAGTCCAATAAAAATGAAGAGGATTTCTAAAGCTCAGAAGTAAGCAGACCAGCCTCTTATAAGAACATTAGAATATCAGTTCAGCGTGCTGTGTCACATACCCTTGTATTTCTTGGGGGTGGGGGGTAGGGGGTGAAATTTGCTTTATAACGAAATTAAACCCCTCTTGATCTGGTTATGTGCTGGTTTCAGTCGTGGTCCTTGCCTTGAGAAGTACTTCTTGACGGGAAGGAGGAATTGTGAAGCATTAGTCCCTCAAATTAATTGCGATTGGTGCAAAGAAGAGATTGATTTTAATTGAAATGAAGCAAAGAAGGCTACAGGCCAAGTGCTCACAAGTCATTAAACTGCTACTATATGGCAAGATTCTTAAAATGAAACCTGATTTTTTTGGCGGGGAGGGGCAATAAGTTATCTTTTGTTACTTGGAGATATCGCTTGCCTTGATTTGAATCTATATTTTTTCTGTTGTGATCGCAACTCATTAGAAAAAATATTTACTTTAAAAAATTGTAGTTTTCTTCAGGAGCGTGAACCATACCAAGCTTGTAAACTAATGAAAGAGAAAGAATAAACAACAAAAATAGTTAAACACTCTGATAATGAACAGTTTTGAGATATAAAGTAATGTGGAGAAGACACCTCAAAGATCCTCTAGATGGGAAAATCTAATAGATGAGATAATTCTAAAAAATTTGAACCTTTTTGATTTGTTTTATGTGCCTGTAAGTCCCATGTCATGCAATGCTCATGGAGGCCAGAAGAGGACATTGGATCCTCTGGAACTGGAGTTACTGATGGTTGTTAGCTGCCTGTGGGTGCTGGGAACTGAACTCCGGTCTTCTGCAAGATCAGCCAGTGCTCTTAACTACTGAGCCATCTCTCCAGCCCTGAGAGAATCCTAAATTTAAAGATGAGATATAACCTTGTTCGGCTTTGGATTTGGCTAGGAATTCCCAAAGAACTAGAATACTTAAAATATTTGAATTAGTGGACACAAAGTCCTCTCTAGGACTTCAAGGAGAGCCTATTAATTTTGAAATTAGAACACTGCCCAAATAGTTTTCCCTTTGCATTCCTTCTAATCATAGCTGTTCCCTTAATACAGTGAAAAAACTTTAAATTGCCACTCATGATTCTTTTTGGCAGAGAAATTATATTCATTGAAGGCTTGAGATTTCTAGCTGTGCTGACTACTTTCTGGTCTCTTAAAGACTACGTTATGATGGCTGCTAATGTAGTGCTTTAGTTTCCTGATTAATCTTATTAGTTTACTCTTACTCAGCTCACTTTGTGTTCCATTTTAATGTCATATAGCATTTTTTAGCATTAGAATTAATCTGTGTCCAGGACAAAATGATTACATTTTTATAACTGGAAATAACATTAGGTTGAATAATTTTTAGTGCTCTTTGGAAGCTTGAAATTGAATGTGAAATGACTTTATAAATCGGGAAACATGATGTGTTTGGAAAAGGCAAAAGCAGTTATTTTTGCAACCAAAACCACAGTATAGTTACAAGATGATCAATATTTTCAGGGCACAGGAGGGGCCAGAAATGCCTGTAAACTAATTGATTATAATATATATGTGCATCTATATGTGTGTATCTATGCATGTACAAATGTCTGTGCAAACATATATCTGGTAGTAATTGGTCTCATTTTTGAAAATCAGACAAAACCAGAGAGGTATAATTAAGCAGAAATGTGATTTTTTTTTTTTTGGTCTTTTTGAGACAAGGTCTCCCTGTAGTCCCAGCTGTCCTGGAACTCACTATGTAGACCAGGCTGGCCTCGAACTCATAACATTCGCCTACCTCTGCCTCCTGAGTGCTGGGGCTAAAGGCGTGTGCTACCACGCCCGGCATGTGATATGTTTTTAACCTTAGTTGCATCATAGAGAGAACTCTTAAAAAATTGCTTTAGCTTTTTTCTCCCTAATGTTATTAGGGGAACTAAGGCTGAAAAACAGCAGCAAAGTTTTCAGTTGCTTATTGAATTTCAGAAATATCCTTTTCCCTTACTTAGTTTCAAAGCAATCTTTAGTAATCTTTGATTTAATGGTTTGTGATGGGCCCATTGGAGCAAAACAAAAAGGGTTTTATTTGTTCTGTTTTGTTTTGTACTTTCCTATGGAAACTAGAATTAGGTTACTGTAGTCTGAATGAAGAAATTACCCACAAGGTAAAAATTTTAAATCCATATTGAACGTGACTTTCTTAGCATTTTGTCTTGATACACATGAAAAAATAATGTTTTAAAGTTATTCTTTATGAAAAGTGAGCCAAAGTAATTATTTAAACAGATTGCATTTAAAAGGCTGTTTGGATTGAGGACCTGTACTTGAAATCCATCTCTGCTCAGGATTCCTCACCTTGAGTCTGTTCGCCATTTACTGGCTGTGAGAACTTGGACAAATTTCTTATCTACTCTGCCATTTTCTCCTTTATTAAGTAAGGATCCTAGTAATCTTTTCTCACTAGATTGTGTGATCTAATTCAATAAAACAAGTAAATGTTAGCACAGTGTTTGGACTATTTTAAGCCTAAACTAAATCTTAGATTGCTTTGAAAAAATTACTCTATTAGAAAAGAGTCTTAGAATTATTCTCTATGAAAATAGGTCTTACAAGTACTATACCTAAAAGTCTTAAGAATTCATGAAAATGTTAATGTTCTCTTTACCCATTGACCTGGTTGCTATCTCAATCTTTTAAACCTTGCCAAAGATGAAACAATCTGCTTATTTCTCTGCCTCCTGGGAGGGGCTTGCCACACTGGAATTCTGGGCAGCTGGTTTGTTTGTCAGTTGAACAACAACAACAACAACAAACTCAAAACATGACTTTTTGACATTTTTAGAGTGAAAGTAATAGTCTTTTGTGCTCTTTCCTGAATGGCACTCTAGCCACAAAAACTTTAAACATGGTGATAATAGTTATAGTTGACTGACTTCTTATTAGCACTAGAGAATTGTTTGCTTTCACTTTATCATTCCTTTCTCATTTCGGTTCTTTTAATTCTTCAATGTTAGATTTTGAGTAGAGCTGTTACTCACATACCTGAGTAAAGATACTTATTCAAATTAATACTTATTTAAATTAATACTTAGAGCTGGGATATGGCTCAGTGGTAGAGAGTTGCATGCTCAAGGCTTTTACCAAGACTGATGAATCCTTAGGCTTTAATTGGAGAATTTTCAGTCAGTTTCAGAATTTTGGGTTTTGACAAAATTTTTAGCAGTTTCTATGTTCTTGTTAGTTCTTCTAGTTCCTGTTCTCACCTCTCTCTCTTTCTTGGGCTCATCCTTTGTCCCATCTTCTCTCTCTTTAAACATTTGGGATTCTTCAAATTCCAAAATTACCTTAATCTTTAAAATTTCCTTTTCAAGTGTGTTTAGCCTGAAGAACCATTATCAGCCAAACCATACACAGAGGACAGCACTCCCAAGTCTTTAATTTTAGCAGGATGATTATGCAACCATTATAAAAATATTTGAAAATAATATTGAACAGCATCTTGATAATTCGGAAAAAACCAAGATGGAGTTTATATATTTAACACACTTGGGCCTGGTGTTTTGAAGTGTGCAATATAGCTATATGTCAGATACCAAAATTTGATAGAATAAATGAATTGGCATTTTGATTTTGAATAAAATCAACTTTGCTACTATGGCATTAATGCCAACCTACAATAACTTAAGATGCCTCCAAATATCAGTATATCATCTTCTCTTTTTTCTCCCTACACTTGTTATTTTATTGTTTGAAGAATATGATTAGTCATCAGTTGTTATGGTCAAAAGCATATTTTTCCTTTGATCCTTGGAAAGATTTGCAAAGTTACACATGGTTACAGCAAATATTCTATAATAGTTCACCTGATTTGATTATGTGCTTAAGAGAAGTACATTAGCCTCCTGTCTGACTTTGCTGTTCCATTTGCACTTTCTTGACATGGCTCTGAGATGTGTTTTGTCTCTTCCCAGCAACCAGAGGAACTGAGGTAGACTGAGGCAGATAATTTTAATTTGTTGATTTGTTGAGAAAGCCAAGGGGGAGCAATTTTTGTGAGCCAGGCTCATTTCTTCCTTTTTCTTATGCTTGGGACCATGGTAACCACAGAGATTGAGAAGTAAAGTGCAGGTGCTTTCCTTTAAGATAAGTAGATCTATTTTTTTTTTTTTTTGAGGAAAAGAACTATTGGGGATAAAATTGATGCTTTGAGACCACTGAGGTAGTAGTGTTTTCTGGAAGACAACAAAGATTAGCACCTAGCTTTTACTGAGGACCTGCTCTGTGCCAGAAACAACTCCTTAGTGTTTTATGTATTATTTGATCTTCAAAGCAACCACTGTGGGGTAATTATTCTCATTTTACCAGTGTAAATTGCATAAAGTTACCCAATTGCCAAATAGGGTTGGTGTTTTCAGGTTTGCCAAGTTATAATAAAATGTGTATTTTTTAAATTTATTTTTTAAAAATATTATTTTTATTTTAATGTGTATGAGTGTACTGCATGTATGTAAGTGCATCTGTGTTGCGCAGTGCCTGTGGAGGTCAGAAGAGGGTATCGGATTCCCCTGCAACTGAAGTTTTGGAGAGTTAGGTTGTTAGTTGCCACGTAGGCCCTAGGAATTGAATTCAGGTCCTCTGCAAGAGCAGCCAGTGTTCTTAACCACTGAGCCATCTCTCTAGCCCTTATGTGTATTTTTAAAGAGTTATCATTTTAGGCACTTAACACTCAGCAAAATTTAGATTTCTTTTTTTGTATTTAACCCTATATATTGTTGCTATATTGATTTTAAAATAACTCTAAAATTACAAAATAATGTTAATTTATTAGTATAAATTAACATTCACATACAAGAAAGCATAAAGAAGAAAGTATAAATAATTTTTACTGCAAATTTTACTACATATTGGTCCATGCACACATATGTTTGTAGTATACGCCTTAGAGTCTAACCCTTCTGATATATAAAGGTATCTCTTATATCTTTGCAATAGTGTTGCTGTCAGGTAGCCATTGACTCAGGCCTGATCCCTAGTCCCATAGGTCATGGCCAGAACAGCAGGATTAGTTAGTTATGAAACCCTTGACTGTTTTCCTCAGCAAGTGAACTGGCAATGATATGGCTGGTGGATTTCCTGGACTGTTACAGGCAACCATAACATTTAAATTGTTCTGTGTTTCCATATTTGAGTAATGCTATAGTGAAAAATAACATTATAAATCAATCTTTATTCCCATTTTGGTGTTTCTTTTGAGTGTGTGCATGCATGTGTGCATATATGTACACATCTGTGTGTATGTGGATGTATAGGCATATGTGTGTATGTGGAGGCCAGAGGACAACCTCTGGTGTTGTTTCTCAGCACTGTTTCCCTTATTTTTAAAAAAAATTTTTTTAAATTTTTGTGTATTTCATACAATAATCAATCTTAATCATCTTTATATCTTCCCGAATGGCACCTTCCTCTAGCCCCCCCCCCACTGTGTTGATACATTCTATCGTTTGTGTTAAGGCCTATTGTGTCAAGTCAGTGCCCCAGGCATGCCTCAGTGCAAGTTCATCTACTGAGGTCTGGTTAGCCTATCTAGAGTCCCTCCCTTTAGGAAGATCAGCTCTTCCCCACAGCAGTAATTAGTTGCCAATATTTCTTCAGCTAAGATTGGGGTCTGCTGTCCATTTCTCCAGTTTTGTGCTGGGTTTTTGTCTGCTTGAGTTTGCATGGGTCTTGTACATGCTGACACCATTGCTGTAGGTTCCTATGAGCAGCATCCCAGGAGCTTGTAGGACTCTATTTCCATATGGTCATATACCTCCTCCCTGACTCTTAGAGTCTTTCTACCGCCTCATCTGCAGTGGTCCCTGAACCTTGGGTGGGTGAAGCTTAGTATAGGAGTCCAGCATTCTTCAGACTTAACCTCCTTGCTTTGGCCATTTGTGACCTTTCCTCAGTCACATGAAGGAGCTTCATTGATGAGAATTGAGATATTCATTAGTGTCCTCTTCTTGTTCTGTGTTCTGTGAGCCTTAGGTGTAGAGGTTGCTTTGTAGATGTACCATTTAGGCTTGGGCAGTTCACAGATAATGTCTGTCTGTGACCAGTTGTGGTATTCTGTAATAGACCCCATCTGGCACAAAATAAGCATTTTTGATGAATGGTAACTTGGATATTTGTCTGTAAATATAAGGATACATATTTTGTACAAAGTAAGAAATTACATTATTCTAGGGATGTGACAGTCTTGGGGCCTTCTCTAAGATCTATCCACATCATTATTAGTTTTTTTTTTGTTTGTTTTTTTTTTTTTGTCATTTTGAGACAGCATCTCTCTATAGCCCCAGCTAGCCTGGAACTTGCTTTGTAGACTAGGCTGGCCTTGAATTCACAGGGATCCTCCTGCTTCTGCCTGCTGAGTGCTGGGATTACAGGCATGCACCACGACGCCCAGCTTCTAGCTACCTTATTTTTAAAACAGGGTCTCTCACTGGAGCTCACTGGTGAGACTAGGGTGACAGACCAGCAGTCCCTAGGGATCCATCTGTCTCTGTCTCCTCAGCATGATCTAGAGTCCCTCTATTCAACTTTTTATTTTGTTTTTTCTTGAGAATAAGTTGTTTACAGAGGAATTGCTGGTACAAAGGGTGTGTACTTGTTTTTTAAAAGGCTTTTGATACATAATTGCCTTACTAGCAGTGAGTGTTTTTATTAATATCATGTGAGTTTCAAATTAGCAATTATTTTATGAACTGTAATTTAGTACCTAAATAACTAGATCATCCAGGTGTGGTGGTCCATGCCTTTAATCCCAGCTCTTGGGAGGCAGAGACAGGTGGATCTCTGAGACTGAGGCTAGCCTGGTAGACATAGTGAGTTCCAGGCCAGCTGGGACTATGGAGAGACCCTGTCCCCCCGAGAGAGGAGAACGAGAGAGAGAGAGAGAGAGAGAGAGAGAGAGAGAGAGAGAGAGAGAGAAAAGCAACTAGAACAAGCTAAAGGGATTCATAAGTAACCATAGGGAGTGTTACCAATTCACATGGTTCCTCATTTGATTTCAGGTACAAGATCAAGGATACAGACTTGAAACCTTTTATTTTCTCATTTAGGTTTAGAGAAATCCAATGACTCTCCAGTTTATTTGGACTTTACCTGTGTCATAACAAGGCAAAAGAAGAGAAATAAATGATGCAGTAAACAGAATACTGGACACACAAAGATGTCTTTGTCCTAACGTCTGGAACCAATAAATATGATTAGATTATCCAGGTAGGCCCAGTTTATCAAATGAACCTTGACCAGCAGAACTAAATTTTTCCTATGACAGAGTCTTATATTCTTTTTCAGAGAGGAAGGTAACCCTGCTGACAACTTGAGAACTTAAGCAGAGAACTCAGTTGAGCTGTTCTGTGCTTGGACTTTTTGTTTATGAGACTAGGCTTTGTTTTCTGTTTGATTTTTGAGACAGGGTCTCACTACGTAGCCCTGGCTGGCCTCGAGCTTACTATATAGACTAGACTGGCCTTGATCGCACAGAGATCTGCCTGCCCCTGCCTCCTGAGTGCTGAGATCAAAGGTGTGCATCGTGACCACATCCAGCCTCTGTGTTTGACTTTTGATCCACAAAACTCTGAGAATAATTGTAGATCATTAAGTTTGTAGGGCTTTGTTATAGCAGTGACAGAATAATACAGTGAATATGAGAACAGATAAAACCACCCAAAGTTTCTTTCACTGGACTGAAAGATTCATAATTATGTTTGAGAAACTGAGAAGCATAGTATAAACATTAATATGACCAGTTTCTAACTGTGGTTTGTTGTTTTCTTCTGCTCATAATCTTTCCACCTGTGTGGTGTTTTCATGTATTCCACTACTGTCTTAATCTCTTGTCTGTGTACCACATAAAAAGTTTGTATTAGTTTTTCAGTTAAGCGCATTTTTCTGTTACTAATCATCTCAAACATCACTTCTTTTGCTTCAATAATATTTGATCATTTGGGTCTACTATACTTTAGAATTCTTTTGGTACTCTCTTATATTCAGTCTCTTTTGTACTGTTACCAAATTCCTTGCACTGGAAAGTTTCAGATAAGAAAATACCTAAGTAAAATTATAAAGGAACTTCCTGGTAATAATTATGTTATTCGTGGGCTTACATCGAGTGGCGTTTTTAAATGCTGGATTGTAAAGGTGGTCACAGGTTTCATTAGCACACTCTACCTTGAGTTTCCATAGTCACTTACTTGGTCTTTGCTTGCCTTAAAAAATGTTGTGGTACATATTTTTTCTAGAATGTAGTATTTAAATTTTTGAGTAGCACTTGATAAAATACAGAGTAATAAATATTAATTTATAAAATTTATTGTAGCAAGGAATTCACATTGCCTTTGAATTAAGCAGTGTATGAGTACCTGTCATGCAAGCATGAGGACCTAGGTTCAGAAACCCAGAACCCCCACAAAATGCTGGGCAAGTTGACACATGTCTATTACTTCATTGCTGGGGGCCCAGAGACACAAGCTATTAGAAGCTCACTGGCTATCTTGTGTAACCAAATTGGTGAGTTCTGGATTGAGAAAAAAAAAATTACTTACTGTCTTCAGTTAGTTGTTTTACTTAGGATTAGAAACTTACCGAACTATTTGCTGATGTCTGTATTGTCAACATTTACAATAAAAAATATTTTCAGACTTGGTGTGGTGGCACCTGGCTTTAATCCCAGAACTTGGGAAGTAGAGGTGGGAAGATCAAGAATTCACGGACATCCCTGGTAAGGTCAGCCTGGGCTATGAGAGACCCTATCTTAATCAAATCAAAACACGTGTTAATTCAGCACTTAGAAAGTAGAAGTTGTAGAATTACCAGTTTAAGAGAAGCCTAGACTGCAGAGTGAGTTAGAGGCTAGCCTGGCCTGTGTAGCAAGACTGTGTCTCAAAAATTTTTTTAAAGTAAAAAAGTACGACTTTATTCAACAAACATTGATAAGACCACTCATAGTACTATGTGTCTGTAATCTCAGCACTCAGATGACTGAGGTGGGAGAGTGATGGGCTTGAGGCCAGTCTGCATTGTATCATGAGTTCCAGGCTAATCTGGACTAGATAATGAGACTTTGTTTCAATAAATAAATAAATAAATAAATAAATAAAATTGATAGTTTTTACATAAACTAGGAAAGTAACTTTCTTTTTAAAAAGTGAAATTTATATAGATAAGTAGAAAATGGTAGCTTGTAAAGTAGTAAATAAATACAGTTTTAAAAATGTTATTTATTTATTTACTTATTTTTGTGACAGGGTTTCACTATGTAATCCTGGCTGGCCTGGAATTCTCTATGTAGATCAGACTGGTTTCAGATTCACAGAGATCCACTTGCTTCTGCTTCCCAAATGCTCAAATTAATTAATACAAATTTTAAATCATGAAAATTGACTTGTTAAAATTAGCACAAAAGGAAAATGTTTCAAGTAAGAAGTTACTTTCAAATGATTCTGTTTGTAACTTCCTCTTAGAAAATCATAAATTCTTGGATATGAATGATCTGTATGGATGATTTACTTTACTAAATATCTAACTTCCTAAGATAGCCAAAATATCTAATTTCCTAGGATAACATAGTTATATAATATTTCTACTAGCATTTATAACATAAAGAAACAAATTCAGGGGCTGGAGAGATGGTTCAGTAGTTAAGAGCACTGGCTGCTTTTACAAAGGACCTGGATTCCCTCCCAGCATCTACATGACAGCTAACAACCATCCGTAACTCTAGTTCAGGGGGTTCAGGCAAAACATTCATACACATAAAATTAAAATACATAAAAATTTGAAAAGAAGTAAACTTAAAAAACATTGTATTAAAACTATTTATCAGGAGGCAGAGGCAGGTGGAGCTCTTAGTTTGAGACCATCCTGATCTACATAGCATCTTCTAGGCCAGTCAAGGCTACATAGTAAGACCTTGTCTCAAAAAAACAAAGTCCATACCAAAACAAAAATCTAGTCGAGTATTAAGAACTTACTAATTTTTAATATCTTAAGACCTAGTATGATTTTTATTAGTATGTATTTTTCCCCTGAAGGTATAATATATGTTTTTTCCCAAGACAGGGTCTTAAGTTGTGCTCTAAAAGTTCACTTTTCATCTTATTCAGAGGCCAATGTTTTGTAACGATTTTTCTGAGTTTAGTAATTAACACATTAATAAATATAAAGGTTCCAGATGGTCATTTCCCATGTTTATGTTACATGTTCATTTCTTACTTTTCTCCATGAACAGATATGGTGCAGAACTATACATGAATAGCTTTGGCTGGAGAGTGGACATTCAATAATGAGTGGCGCAGCTCTGGGACTTGAGATTGTTTTTGTCTTTTTTCTGGCATTGTTCCTGCTCCATCGATATGGAGACTTTAAGAAACAGCATAGGCTTGTGATTGTCGGCACGCTGTTTGCTTGGTATCTCTGCTTTCTTATTGTCTTCATTCTGCCTCTGGATGTTAGTACGGTAAGAGGTGAAATTGAATTTTACAATGTAAAGGGCAGTTGTAATCACTGTTTGAACTATGTTTTGAATATTGTATTTTTTTAAAATAAATAATTATATGTTATCCCTGCATTCTAAATTTAAATGTTGTTTTAGAAATTTAACTATTAAAACAATGTCACCTAGAAAGAGAAATTAGTTAGATTTTTTAAGATACCCTGGTTTTGATTCTCATTTTTAAACCATGATTCGTTGCTTTAGACAATATATAACCGATGCAGGCATGCCGCTGACAATTCAAGCCCTCCGGAGAGTAACAACATTACGGGCGTGTATGCAACCATTACTCCAGCTCCAAGGTATTAATTTTTTTCTACTTTCTGTTTAATATAAATATTATAATAATGAAATTATTTTATCACCCAATGATTTTCCGTTTATGTTTCCCTCATTCCTTATTGTTCCTCTCACTTTCATCCTTTGCTAATATTTTTGTTCTATTACATTTTGTTTAAAGCTAAACTTTATATATCAGTATAGGACAGTAGTGAGAAATTTAAAGAATACCTAATTTTTAGTATGTTTCTATGCCTTACTAAATTCTAAAACCTATTCCTCTCAATCTCTGTCTTATATCTAAAAAAATGAACTATAAACAATCCCAAGTTTTAGCACCATGAATAAATGTATAAAAGAGTGAGGGTTTTCCTTTTCATCTAATTTATAAGGTTGTCATAAAGAACAGGTAGCACTCAGCATGTTTGCACATACCTAGAGTCCAAGTACTTAGGAGGAATTGGGAGTTCAAGGCCCACCTCAGCTACATAGCAGGTTCAAGGCCAGTGTGGGCTATATGAGACCTTGTTTTAAAAAAACCAAAAACAAAGAACAAGGAGGTTTTGTGAATATAGGGTATTTTTCTCAAAATGCTCATTATTAAGAAAAATCATAATTTTACATGAAGAATGAACAAAGTTCAGATTTTCAAAAGGTTATA